GTCGCCGCTGTCGTCGTCGCCGCTACCGCCGCGGTCGAGCCCCGGATCCCTCAGTTCCGCTGGGCAATAACGTTATTCCACACACGCCCCACACATAGCGGTAACGGCAAAGCGCGGCCGCCCCAGTGCGCAGGCGCTTCGGGAAAGGGCGAGCAGCCAGGCCCTATCCCCTCCTCCTGCCGGGTCCCCACACTGTGTTACTGCGCAAGCGCCAAACACAGACAATGAAAAGAGGTTGTGCGGGGGTCTCCGTTCACGCCTTTCAGATGCCCACTGCGCAGGCGTGCCCTCGAAGACCAGCTCGAACAATGAAGACGACCGAGGCATTAGCTGGGACCGCAACCAATGTAGACTACAGTTCCCAGTGGGCAGTGCGCCAACTCCAAGTGGAGGGCGGGCTGCCGGGCATGCTAGGAATTGTAGTGTCGACCACTCTCGCAGTTAAGGCTGTTGGAAAGTCTTGGTGCTTTTTTCTTGAGACTGTATTTGACTATTTTGGCAAATATTGCAACCAAAGCAGTGTTCAGAGCTTGTTATTTGCGTCTTTGAAGTCTCAAGGACCAGCTGCATGTTAGCAAATTTCGAAACTTCAAGGCCTCAGTGAGTCCTGTCACTTGCGTGGTCCAGCTCTAGCAGAAGGATGGGATGAAGGCGGGACTAAACCAGGCGGGGCTGGAGGAAAAGGGCGGAGTCTCCACGTCTGTCTCTTGGCAACCGCCTCCGACAGCCAGACCGCCCAAAGGAAGCGCCTGGAGCGCGATGCCCCCTGGGAATTGTAGTGTAGCAGGAAGGCTCTTTGAATTCTGTAGGCTAGCAGCCTCTGAGCCTGTGGACTACAACTCCCGACGTCCCCATGAGCGACGGTGGGCGGGAAGAGGCCCCAGTAGCGCCATCGGGGTTCTCAACTCCCTGGTGACAGCAGCGGCAGGAAGCGGTAGGAGACCCCCCCCTCGCTGTAGGCCTGTTGTTCTTGGAGGGGAAGATTCTGGACATTTCCCCACATAATTCCCATTTGTGGGCCCAGAGTCTGCGCATGGAGCAGCCTCCAGGGAACTGTACCCTGGAGGAGATTCTGGGCCAGTATCAACGGAGTCTCCGGGGTGAGTTGCTCCGAACCTCTGTGCCTAGTCCTTAGGTATCCAGGGCAGAGTGGGTGCAAGTAAGACCAGGTGCGTTTCCTAGCACCTCAGTGCAGCTCCGGCCAGGCTGGGAAGGAAGAAGATGGATGCTGCTGTGTTCTTTGAGGAAAACGGAACAGTTTGATTTTGTTTTTACGTTAAGCAGCGTTGTTTCCTTTGATTCCCGTAGTTACCAGAACACTCTCATCTTAACTTGGGCATCTTTCTCAACCTGCGCCAGCACACACTGTTGGACGACTCGATCGATGCCACTTTTGCCCAATTCCAATATTTTGCTGTTTGATCCAATAAATTCCTGATTCACACATTTTTATACATTCCAATTATGGTGTAGTAGATTGAAATGTGCTTTATAGGACCAGGGGAAAACTAATTAATCAAGAGAACTTCTATTTATTGTTCTAGGCTATTTACATACAGTAAATCATTAAAAACTTAGACTAACCCTAGGGATATCCCTATTTTTACATATTGTGAAATGGAAACTCAGAAAGGTTAAATTACCAGCCAATGAGCCACACAACTGGATAGTGGCAGAACCAGGTGTTAAATTCAGGCCTGTCTGCCTTCAAAGCCTATGTTTTTCTTTAAATAATAAAGTCATAATTACTATTATTGAAATCTTAATATTGAAACTTTGTTCATGTTTTCTTAGCATTATGTGCTACAAGTGATATTCTTTAGAAGTGATATCCTACTAGCAGATGGTCCTGTAATTTTGGACAAACATATAATCTGTAGAAATCTGAATATTTATGTTGTAGTGGAAGTTATTGTATGTACAAAAGTGTAGTGAGGAGCAAATGGAAAAGTCCTCGTAAAGCAATCATTTTTGGACTTCAGAAATGTTACCCATAGTAAAAAGTACATTTACATAGGGCGTATACATATGAAGTTTCACTGAAGAATTTTTATTGTATTAAAAGTAATATATTCTATTTTTTGGCTCTGTTGCATTTTCATAACCCTCTAGGTCATGACCAACAGTTTAAAAATTATTTAAAGTATTTAGAATACTAATTTATTCAATAAATATTAATTCAGTGCCTCCTATGTATTAGGTGCACGAGGTGTTGGGGATGCAATAAAGAAATGAGACAAAGTGCCTGACCTCATGGAGCCTCTGGATTAGTGGGGAAAAAGACAATAACTGAATAACTATTGTACATGTTATTGTGACACAAAATAAAGGTAAAGATCAATGCTTGGTTCATAAGCATTCATTGAATGTTAGTTGCTATTTATACTTGGTACTTATAGCAGCAAAGTAAAGGTTTTTACAAGAGATTAGAAAATTTATTTTCTCATGACTCTAGATTTTAAGGATTATTATTTATTGTGTACAACTGCTGACAGTATTCCAAATTGTCAACATTTTCAGTATGTAAACTGCAGGATTAAAAGCATTGATCTTAATACTTTCATCAGCCTATTGATGTGTCAAGAGATTTTTTAGGTACAGAAATAAAACTACTAAATTTTCATTTGGAAGCAAGGAAAACACTGTATACAATGATATGATTGAGTTTTCTTAATTTTTGAGACAGATCAATGTTTTTGGTTTTATTTTCCAGTATAAGCTTCTTCTAATGCTTCTCCTTGGACCTTATTTTGAACCTTTCTATAAACATTGGAGGAATTTAATATTAGGCATTTTGATGCAGGAAAGGCGATAATTTCAAATTAATGTTATAGTAATATGTTTAATACCACTAGTACTGCTGTCAGTAATTACAGAATGAAGAATTTTTATTCAAAAAATGTTTTTCCAAAATTTTAAAGATAATTTAAATTTAGTGTGATAACAGTATAAGAGAATGAGAATGTTTCACTAAGAGCAAACATAAAGGATAGTAAAAAGTGAAACAATTTTTAAATATTTAGTTATAATTTCAACAATGAATCAAGAAATGGAACCTGAACTCTTTCACATGTTTTTAGGATTTATTATTTACTTTGTCATTTTTGCTGTTGCTGTTTTGTTTTGCCAGAGGACACATGCAGGCTGCAGAGAGAGAGAGTGAGAAAGCACGCCCCCCCCCCCCATACCCAACACTGGGACTAGTCATGGCGACTAGTCACTCCGCAAGGTAGTTGACCGCAGTTCAAGTTCTGGACCCAGTGGCTTAAAACTCATGCCAAGCACATGTGCGTGCGTGCCCAAGGTCCCGAGAGGAGAATGGAGGAGAAGGGATTGAGGAGGTGGGGCAACCCCCCCCCCCCCCCGGGGGGTGATATCTTATTTTCTGTCTCTGTCTGTCTGGTGAGCGCATGAGCCCTATAGCAAAAACCTCTCCAAAAAAAAATAAATAAATAAAAATAAAAATAATTAATGTATGCCCCCAACCCCAACAGGAGAAGTGAGGAGATGAATTACAGCATGAGAGGGTGGTGGTGCGGTGCTTTCTGCCTCTTTTCTGTCTCTACCAAGCACATGCACTGTCTGACATTGACATAATAAAAAAATATATAAGTTCTACAGTCCAAATGTAAATCACCACTTTAAAATAGTCTAATTCACTTTAAAGTAAAATTTTGTGTTTCTGAATAAACAAAATGTGGTGGACTTATTTTATATGTGGAAATTCATTGCTTTGAATGTTTGTGCCTAGTAACCCAAGAATTGGGTTACAGAACAGTCATATAAATGCAATGTGAAGTTCTTTTGTCTTGCTTTATTTCAGTTTTGATTGTTTGGTTTTGTTTTCCCACCATTACTTCCTCAAAATATCTTGTTAGTACATGCATAATGGAAATCTAATAAGCAGTCTTAGTCTTTTCTCCCCAGTTATCTGGTTTTAAATAGCTGTAACTGTACATATAATCATTTGTAATATCTCTTTATACTGAGCCAAGAAATGGCCATACAAAAATGCAAGCACAGTTACATAATTTTCTATACTTAAATGTGGGGGTATAATATTAGAGGGAAGTTGCTAGAAATTCAGCGTCCTAGCTTTAATATCAGAATCATGTCTCATGGATTGCTGCAATGTTGGGTATGGAGACAGTTTTTTTGTTTGTTTAGTTTTTTTTTTTAGAGAGAGAGAAATTTTTGCTATCGGACGTATATGCTTGCTGGAGAGACAGAGAGAAACACAGAGACAGAAATCACCCTCCCAGGAGGGATGGCCACACTTCAATTCCTTCTCCTCCATTCTCTTCTCCAGATTTTGGGCACACACACACAGGAGCCCAGAATGAGTTTCAAGCCACTGGGTCCAGGACTGAAACCGCATTTGGCCATGTGGGAGTCTAGCAACCATTAAACCATCTGCTGGAGACGGTTTTAACAACACACATGTACATGACTCACCCATTCACCTAGTTCCTAGCCATCTTTGGTTGAGTGAGCATAAATAAAAATGATGCAGACATTAATATGACTAGAACCCAAACTTTATTTTTTGTATACATTTTGTATAATAGTTCCCCCTTTTCTTTTAGCTTTTTGAGGTTTCTGCTTGTGCATGAATTTGTGGGGAAGAGTAAGATGGGGTTGAGAGAGAATGTAGAATTAACAGTCGGGTCTCTGAACATTCTGCAGCTTTGCTGATAACCATCTGTGTGACCTTTGGCAATTTAATAAACTATTCTTGGATTCCTGACTCCTCATTTGTAAAATGAGAAGTTTGGACTAGATGTGAGAATTGCTGCCTTTAGGAGCCAAGTAGAAGACAAAAGTGTTTGATAGAATCAGCGAAAGAAACTAGGGAATGGTGACATTTATGGCCAAATTGCACAGTTTATGCTTTTTCTAAAACATTCTGATTTCTCTGTACTCTTTCTTTCCTACCTTCCCTTTATTTCCTTCTCATTTTCTCTCTTCCTTCCTCCCTGCCTCTCTTTCCCCAAGAAGAAAGCTAAGTAAAACACACCCAAGATCCTGATACCCTCTGACCCTGGAGTCACTTAACGATCCTTCCATCGACACTGATTGGACCATGTAAAGGCTGTGTTTCTGTTTTGCGGAAATGAGAGTAAAGAGTTGAGCTAGGTACACAGAAAGTGGAGAGAGTGAGTATGGAAAATATGCAATCTTGGAGATGGTCCTTTTCTTTGTAAATTGATCTAGTTCAAGAAAACTGAAGATTATGTGGATATTCTGTTTTACTTACATGCAACTAGCACATCTCTACACATCCTGCAAAGTGTTTTTCTCCTGCTAGGAAAGTTCTCACATCTGTAGAAGGGCTGTGTTAATCTAATAATTGGGTCAGTGTACTAGCCAGCAGTGATATCATCTGGCAGACTTAAGAAAACATGTGTGTAACTTAAGTAGAAGTTCCCCTTTTTCTGAGATTTGCTTAAAGAACTTGTATTTCTTCTCTTTTTTTTGGTCATCCTTTCCCAGATATTCTTTAGGTATTTTTATATTCTTTGCCATATGGTGTGTGTGTATCCATGTACATATATACACATGTGTATATATATGTGTGTGTGTGTATAATACTTTTAAGCTCTTTCACTATTGTAATCACCATTTACAATTCTGGCTTTGGCTTTGGCTTATGCTGGTTTTAAATTTGGTTGCATTACCTGTCGATCCCCTAGTACACTGTGACAGCACATACACACACATACACATACACACACACACACACACACACACACACATACACTTATATATACTGATAAAGTTTAAATTGTCTTTTTTGTTGTCTTATGTACTTATGTGACTTTTCTTAGTACTTCAGCTACTATATTATGATCTTTTCTTTTACTAGAATAAAAAAAAAGCCAATAGAATCTCAACTTTTTTTCCTTCTACTAATAAAATAAAATAGGAGCAAGACAGGGTGTGTTTTTTACTGATAAAGTTTAAATTGTCTTTTTTGTTGTCTTATGTACTTATGTGACTTTTCTTAGTACTTCAGCTACTATATTATGATCTTTTCTTTTACTAGAATAAAAAAAAAGCCAATAGAATCTCAACTTTTTTTCCTTCTACTAATAAAATA